CTCTCTCTCTCTCTCTCTCTCTCTCTCTCTCTCTTCTCTCTCTCGTCTCTCTCTCTCTCTCTCTTTCTCTCTCTCTTTCCTCTCTCTTCTCTCTCTTCTCTCTCTTCTCTCCCTCTCCTCTCTTCTCTCCTCCTCTCTTCGCTTCTCTTCTCTCTATCTCTCCCTCTCTCTCTCTCTCTTTCCTCTCCTCTCTCTTGATCTCTCTTGATTTCTCTTTCTCTCTCTTGATCTTTCTCTCTTGATCTTTCTCTCTTGATCTCTCTCTCTCTCTCTCTCTCTCTCTCTCTTCTCTCTCTCTCTTCTCTCTCTCTCACTCTCTCTCTCTCTCTCTCTTCTCTCTCTCTCTCTCTTGATCACTCTTTCCTTTCTTTTCTTTCTTCTCTCCCTCTCTCTCTCTCTCTCTCTCTCTCTCTCTTCTCTCTCTCTCTGCTCTTCTCTCTCTCTCTCTCTCTCTCTCTCTCTCTCTCTCTCTCTCTATCTATCTCTATCTATCTCTCTGTCCTCTCTGTCTCTCTCTCTCTCTCTCTTCTCCTCTCTTCTCTCTCTCTTCTCTCTCTCTCTCTCTCTTCTCTCTCTCTCTCTCTCTCTCTCTCTCTCTCTCTCTCTCTCTCTCTCTCTCTCTCTCTCTCTGCTCTCTCTCTCTTCTCTCTCTCTCTCCCTCTCTCTCTCTCTCTCTCTCTCTCTCTCTTCTCTCTCTCTCTCTCTCTCTCTCTCTCTCTCTCTCTCTCTCTCTCTCTCTCCTCTCTCTCTCTCTCTCTCTCTCTCTCTCTCTCTCTCTCTCTCTCTCTTTTGATCTCTCTCTCTTTCTCTTTTGATCTCTCTTTCGAAAAAAAAGTTTTCAGAGAAATATTGAAAACAAAAAACTTTTCACACTTGGCGGTCTAAATGAGGATGAAAACAAGCCCATTTCAAAATTAACTAAAACAAAGTTGAACAACTGGCAAGTAAACCTACGAGGATCACAGATAACACTTGATTAATTGGTGTAATAATAAACAGCTGACATCGTTCTCCGCACAAACGTCATCCCATGCCATGTTGCCGATCACGAACTCATAAGGAAACCAAAACGACCAACAGTCATAAAAAAAAAAAACTTTCGTGAATTAGCCAATTATGATTCGTCAATCATTATGCCAACTCATGATAGCGAAAGAATCAACTCTTTAAAGATTAATTGTGTTCCCGGAAGTGATCAGTGACAGATGCCATCGTCCCCTTTGTTATAAAAAACTACTAGACGTCCTCCTGCTCCATGGGTAAACCACGAGAGTCATAACAGAGAGAAATGGTGTTCATAAAGTTCTCAAAAATAACAGATTCGACATGGCACTCCAGGCTGACTATAAACAAAGGAAGAGAAATGACAAATCACTAATACAAGAAGCCAAAACCGATTGTTTAAGATATAGATTAACAAGTAAAAAGATACTTGTACCAAACAAAAAACGTCATAAAGATATTAATCTAAATTCCAGATTTAGTGCGAATGAGTTTAATGAGTTCTTTGCTAAAATTGGACATCTCACATGCGAACAAACAAATGCTTCCATATCTCAGCAAAATACAGGTAGAATGAGTTTCAAACCACAACCAGTTAAATAGAAACTTTAACTCTGACAATAAAACAGCTGCGTGAAACAAATGCTGTGTGAGTGGATGGCACTGCTTTTCGCTTTATCAGAGACAGTCAACCTGCTACCGCGCTAAATCTATTATCTTTATTACATCTTTAGTCACCGGTGACTTCCCATCGCTTTGGAAACATGGCAAAATAACACCAGGATCCAAATTTGGAGACACAGATGAAGTTAATTATCGCCCTATTACCATAGTTCCTATACTGTCTAAGGTTCTTGAAAAAATCGTAGCAGACCAATTGACCTCATTTCTAGAGACACATGACCTACTGTCTAGAACACAACATGGCTTCGGAAGAAAGCTGTCTACTGAGACAGCACTACTGTAGATTACAAATAAAATTTGTGAGAATATAGACAACAACCATATAAACTTGCTTACAGTGTGGGACTTATCTAAGGCCTTTGATAGTGTCAATCACAAAATCCTAATCAATCACAAAATTGATACATATTGATTCAGAAGCAATATAAGTAATATAACCCCATCAGTCAAAATTCGCGAGAATATATCAGCAAAACAGATGGCATTCTTCGGTGTTCCACAAGGATGAACTGATAAAAGACCCAGGAGACTTTCACGAGTAAAAGGATACTTTGACACAAATGGCCTCAAGATAAATTCAGATAAAGCACAATGTATTTTCATAAAATGATCAAAGGTTTTAATTCAAAAAGGCTTTTAACCCGTCCAACTGTAGGTAACACAACCTGTGTCCACTTAACTCCCTATATGTCAGACACTGAAACGTGGACCCATGATCTGGAAACATCTACTTTGTAATATAAGAAACATTCAAAACTCAAATACATTCAAAAAGAAATTAAGGGAACATCTTTTAAATCACCAATGACATCAGGTTTCAAAATGTAAGAATAGGGACGGTCATCGTGACGTCACCAGGGCTGCCACGTGATCAGTCGGGAGACAGTGGTTGGCAAAAACAACAAAATCCCACGAACTCCGTTATTAAGTATTGGTCTGTTGCGAACATCGTCCCTTTTTTCTCGATTTTTACAAGATTCGCAATCTTTTTCACCCTTTTCTAAGAAACTCCGACATGGTAAACAGTTGCATTATTGTTGGATGTGTAAATTGACAGCAAAAAAGTTCAACTTTGAGTTTCAATTGCTTCCAAAAGACCCCGAGAGAAGGAGGCTTTGGCTATCAATCGCAAGAACTTTGATCCTGCACCTGGGAGTGATGTAAGAGTTTGTGCTAAAGGTACGTACGATAGCTTTTCTATAAAGACATTCTAAAATTTAAACGGTTATGTTATACCGTCATAACTCTTTGTAGGGATGTATTTCCCCGTGGTTAGGCATAGGCCTAGGCGGTGGTAGATGTGTGTGACTGGTTACATTTGTGTATCTTCACCTGAAGTTTCAGTTAATTTGATTTTAAAACTTTCCCTGAACAAAGGTCGTAAGACATTAAATGGGAACAAAAAAAGATAGTAAATCTAATGACTGCTACACTGCCCTCTCAACAACAGGAAATTTGCTTAATTCTTTACAAAGTATCATGATGAGTATTGCGTGGAAATGTAAATTTAACCTTTTAGAAAAATCTGGCTATAACGGCCGAAAAATATTGATAAAACTCCTGGTTTGAGCAACTTGTACCCTTCCAGAGATTTGTAGGCCTTTAATTCTTTGTATGTGTAAACACCAGGTGTTTGTATAAAGGTCGGTCAACCAAACAGTTAGTATGGCCCAGCGAATACAGATAGCTGTATTCTGATTTTTCTTATGTTAAATACCAAATTCCATTTTCCTGTTTTGTTTTAAAACTTAAGAAAAATACTTGAAAGCTGCGAGTGATTTGTAGGCTTTCAACTCCTCTTTTGTGTAACTACCCGGCGTGTGTATTAGGTAGAGATAAATATCACCAAAACTAACATAGGGCCAACCATTGGGACTTTCAGACCAGCCATCAAGAGAGAGAAAGGATCTGGTAAGCTTTCTGTACCTTTAGAACACTTCAGATTTTCATCAACGATTTTAGCAAATAAATCGAGAGATTTTTAGTAGGTTGACATCGTTTTTACGGCTGATTCAGCAGCCATTGTTGATCTTTTGCCCACCAGTGTTGTGCGCGTGCGCGAAAAAGCGTTTTGTTTTTGTTTTGATGGCCGTCCCTGTAGACAAGATGTATTATTTACTACCATTGATTCTGTGTTAAGTTATACTTATATCTGCTGTAATATCACTATGTATGTAATGTGAATAACCGTCTTAAATATGGAATATTTTAAATTTTGAATATGAATTTGAACTCTCTCTCTCTCTCTCGCTCTCTCTCTCTCTCTCTCTCTCTCTCTCTCTCTCTCTCTCTCTCTCTCTCTCTCTCTCTCTCTCTCTGCTCTCTCTCTCTCTCTCTCTCATCTCTCTCACTCTCTTCTCTCTCTCTCTTCTCTCGTCTCTCTCTCTTTATCTCTCTCACTCTCTATCTATTACTATCTCTTTATCTCATTCTCCCTCTCTTTCTATCAATCATCAACTCACTATCTATCTATCTATCTATCTATCTATCTATCTATCTATCTATCTATCTATCTCTCACTCACTCACTCACTCATATATATATATATATATATATATATATATATATATATATATATATATATATATATATATATATATATATATATATTACATCTCTAGGAATCTTAACATTCTAACCATTATCATCACCATCCTCGTTCCACCACCTCCATCACAACACACTCTCCACCCAACCCAGCCTTAACACATCAGCCCAAGTTCACCCCAAGACACTCCTCCACCCCCCCCCCCTCACCAGACTACCCTAGATCACCCACCCTAAGACTCCCGCGACCACCCTCGCCAGACCACCCACAAGACCCCCCCCAGACCCAACCCACCAAATACCTCCCAGACCACCCTCAAAGAACCCTCCAAGACCCCCCTCTCCCCACCGGACCGACCCCCCCCCCCCACCCCCCTAAAGACCACCCCCCTAAAGAACACACCCCTAAAGAACAGCCCCCCCTAAAGACCACCCCCCTAAAGACCACCCCCCCAAAGACCACTAAAGACCACCCCCCTAAAGACCACCCCTAAAAGACCCACCCCCCTAAAGACCACCACCCCTCCTAAAGACCACCCCCCTAAAGACCACCCCCCTAAAGGACCACCCCTAAAGAACCAAAGACCACCCCTCCTAAAGACCACCCCCCTAAAGACCATCCCCCTAAAGACCACCCCCCTAAAAGACCACCCCCCCTAAAGACCACCCCCCTCCTAAAGACCAAACCACCCCCCTGAAAAAGACCACCCCCCTAAAGACCATCCCGAAGACCCTCTGTGCAACCTCTGACCCTTGTCCTCCTGCAGCTGGCGGGCCTCACGTCGGAGAAGGTCCTCGAGTTCATCGAGAGGTACGAGCCGGCGCCCGAGGCCAGGAAGAACAAGCAGATGCTGATTGACGGTGAGACCCCCGCGTGTCCGTGCGCGCGCGCGCTGTCTGTCTGTCTGTCTGTCTATGTATCTGCCTATCTATCTCTCTGTCTGTCTATGTATCTGCCTATCTATCTATCTGTCTGTCTATGTATATGCCTGTCTATCTGTCTGTCTGTCTATGTATCTACTTATCTATCTGTCTGTCTGTGTATGTATCTATCTGTGTGCCTATCTATCTGTCTGTCTGTCTGTGTATCTGCCTATGTATTTGCCTATCTCTCTGACTTTTTTATGTCTATCTAGGTATCTATCTATCTGATTGTATGTCTATGCATCTATCTATCTGTCGGTCTGTCTGTCTGTGTATCTATTTGTCTGTCTATGTATCTCTCTATCTCTTCTTGTTATTCCTCGCCCTCTTATTATTATTCTTTCTTCATTTATCTATATTTTTCACTTCCCTTTCATCTTCATTTTCTTTTCTTCTTTTCTTCTTTTCTCAGTCACCTTATCACTGAGGTTGTTGATTCGTTTAGTTATTATTAAGGTGATTATGATGTAATGAGAGTAATGATGATAAAAATGATAACAATAAAAGATAATGATGATGGCATAAATGATAGTGATAATAATGATAATAAAGATAATGATAATAATGATGATGTAATAATAATAATCATAATAGTAATAATAATAATAACAATAACAATAATGATAATGATAATAATAATGATGATAAGGATAACAATGATAATAGTATAATGATAGTAATAATAATAATATTGATAATAGTAATGATGATACTAATAAAGATAAAATTAATGATAATGATAATAGTAAAAATAATAACAATGATAATAGTGATAATGCCAACAATAATAACAATAACAATTATAGTAATAAGGATAATAACAACAAACCATTAAAACAACACCAGCCCCCCCCTCCCCCTAATTATAGTAATAAGGATAATAACAACAAACCATTAAAACAACACCAGCCCCCTCCCCCTCCCCCTAATTATAGTAATAAGGATAATAACAACAAACCATTAAAACAACACCAGCCCCTCCCCCTCCCCCTAATTAGTAATAAGGATAATAACAACAAACCATTAAAACAACACCAGCCCCTCCCCCTCCCCCTACCGACACAGCCGCCCTGACCTGTCTCTCTCCTCCTCCTCCAGGCTTCACAAAGTACCTGATGAGCGACGAGTGTGACCTGTTCGACCCCGCCCACCGCCAGGTCTGCCAAGACATGACTCAGCCTCTGGGACACTACTTCATATCCACAAGTCACAACACTTACCTGCTCGAGGACCAGCTCAAGGGGCCCTCCAGCGTGGACGGGTACATACGGGTCCTCACGTGCGGCTGTCGGTGTGTCAAAGGTGAGAGGTGTGAGTGTGTGGTGTATGTGCGCTGTGTGTGTGTGTGTGTGTGTGCGTGTTGTGTGTGTGTGTGTGTGTGTGTGTGTGTGTGGTGTGTGTGTGTGTGTGTGTGTGTGCGTGGTGGTGTGTGTGTGTGTATGTTTGGAGAGAAAGAGAAATAGAGAGATTGATGGACAAACAGATGGAAAGAGAGAGACAGAGAGAGGTTTCTGTGTGTGTGTGTTGAGAGAGGGAGAGAGAGAGAGAGAGATAAAGAAATAGAGAGATAGACCGACATATAAAGAGAGAGAGAAAGAGGTCTGCGTATGTTTTGCATCCCGGAAACATCTCACGCTGAAGATGAGCAAGGCAGGGATTCTCATGACGTCACTAGTTCCAGTCACGGGGAATACTTTGAAAACGAAATAATAGTTTTGATTACTATTATTATTTTTACTACTATTATCCCTGTCATTATCATTATCATCATCCTTTTTGTTATTATTTTCATCATTATCGTTATTACTGTCATTAGTATCATTATCATTGTCATTATTGTTGTTATTATCATCATTATTATCATCGTTGTTGTTGTAATTATTACTATTATCATTATTGTTATTGTTATCATTATTATAACTATTATTATTATTATTATTATTATTATTATTATCATTATTATTATTATTATTATTATTATTATTATTATTATTATTATTATTATCATCATCATCATCATCATTATTAATGCTTTTGTTATTATTATTATTATTATTATTATTATTATTATTATTATTATTATTATTATTATTATTACTATAATTATCATAATTATTATCATTGTTATTATTCTTTTTTTTTCTTCTTCTTCTTCTTTTATCTAATTATTGTTATTATTATTGTTATGATTATTACCTTTGTTATTATTGCTATTATTATTATACTTATCATCACCATCATCACTCTTATTACTGTTATTATTATTATCATTGTTGTTATTATCATTATTGTTATTAGTATTATTGTTGCTGTTGTTATCAATATAATCATTGCTATTATTATTACCTTTATTATTGCTATTATTATTATCATCATCATCATCATCATCATCATCATCATCATCATCATCATCATCATCATCATCATCATCATCATCATCATCATCATCATCATCATCATCATCATCATCATCATTGGTGTGTTGTTATTATAATTATTATCATTATTTCCACCATTGCTATCATCATTCTTATCATCATTATGATTATTATTATTATTATTATTATTATTATCATTATCATTATTATTATTATAATTAGCATTAGCATTATTATTATGATGATGATGATTAGTATTGTTATTATTATTATTATTATTATTATTATTATTATTATCATTATCATTATTATTATCATTATCATTATGATTGTCATTATTATGATTATCATAATCATTGCTGTGGTTAGTATCATTATTATTATCATTATCATTTTTATTACTATTATCATTGTTATAATTGTCAGGCGCAGTAGTAGTAGTAGTATCATTATCATTATTACTATTGTTGTTGTTATTATTTTGGTGTTATCAGTATCATAATGATAATGATTATTATCATTATCATTTTCAGTACTTGTACTGTTATCACCATCTTTACTATCCTCATTACAAATATTGATATGATCGCGGCCACGCACGCACACACAGATATACACTCGCTAGCACGTGTCTGTCCATTTTTTCAGATAACTTTTATATTTTTTTTTCTTTTTTTTTTTCGTGCGTGTTCCTTCCTTTTGCCTGATTTTGATCTGAGTTCATGATAGCGCATGACTCAGGGGACCTGCTTTGCTTATCAGTGTGGAAAAAAACTCGTGGCTATTCTTCAAGGTTTTATATATTGGATTTTCGAAGAGGATTGACAGGGGAACATTTTTTTCAATGGATTTTTTTTTCTTCTTTTTTTTAGTTTATTGAGGCTTGCGGTGTCAGAGGCTCTCTTGTGTGACTTTATTGTATGAAATTAAGAATTTAGACAAGAATAAGGATAGGAAGAAAAGGTGAAATGTGCACAATGCATTTTAATTCAGATAGCAAATGGTTTAACTCCAAAATATGGATTTAAAATAATTCAGAAAAACATATGGTTCAACTCCAAAATCTGTATAAAAATAATGATAATTTCAGACAGCAAATGGTTAACTTCTCGTCCTGAAAATGTTTAAAAAAAAATACATTACTTTGTTCGTCGAGGATAAGGTTTTTTAACCCTATTGTCCTGTATAATTACCGTTACCTGTGTGTGAGTCTTAATTAGGGCGTCGTTTAATTGTCTAATTAATCTGCTTAATTTGTCTCACTCTTTCTTCTTTCTCGTCGTTGCCTCACCCCGCCTGTTTTTTTGTTTTGTTTTTTCGCTCCCACTCTCTTCCATCTTCTGCTTCTACGCTTCCTTCTCCCTCCACTTTCCTTCATTTTTTTTTCTTTTTAACTTGTTATTCTTTTTCTTCATTTTCCTTCCTAACACTTTTTTCCTTCTTTTTCTCTTCTTCATCCGTCTTTTCTTCCTCCTTCCCCTCTTCTTTCTCCTCCTCCTCCTCCTCCAGCCCTTCCTTACTCCCCTCCTCCCTTCCCCTCCCCTCCTCCCCCTCTCCTCCTCCTTCACCATTCCTCGTCCCCTCCTCCTCTCCACTCCTCCTCCTTTCCCCCTCCCCCTCTCTCTTCTCCCTCTCCTATCCTCATCCCCCTCCACTCTCTCTCCCTCCTCCCCTCGCCCTCCTCTCGCTCTCTCGTCCTCCTCCTCCTCCCTCTCCCTCTCTCCCTCCCTTCTCCCCTCTCCTCCTTCCCTTCCTCCCTCTCCTCCCCTCCCCTCGTCTTCTCTCCCCTCCTCCTCCCCCTCCCTCTCCCCTCCCTCTCCTCCCTCCCCTCATCCCCCTTCCCTCCTTCCCTTCCTTCGCATCTCTGCAACTTCCTCAGCAGCTCACTTTTATAGTCTGTTTGTCTATCTGTGTATCAGTCTTTTTATATACCTCTATCTACATATATATCTCCTCTCCTTCTTTCTTCTCCTTTCCCTGTTCTATTCGTTCTCTTGATCTCTGTCTCTCTATCCCCCTCTCTCTCTCTCTCCCTCTCTCTTCACTCTCATCTCTCTTCTCCATCTCTCTCTCTCTCCTTTCTTTCTTTCTTTCTTTGCTTTCTTTTCTCTTCTCTTTCTCTCTCTCTTGCATCTTCTTTTTCTCTTCTCTCTCTCTCTGCTCCTCGTCATCTTGCTCTCTCTCTCTTCTCTCTCTCTCTTCCTTCATCCTCTTTTTTTTTCTTCTTCTCTTTTTTTTTTTTTCTTTGGCGGTTCTTCTTTGTCTTTGTATTTCTTTCGGCTGTCTCTCTCTTACTCGTCTCCGGTCTTCTCTTCTCTTCTCTCTATCTTCTCTCATCTCTCCCACTCTCTCTCTGTCTCTCCGTGTCTCTCTCTCTTTTTGATGGTTGGCGAACTTTGTTTAGCTGCTTTTTTTCTTCTATTCTGCATCATCTCGGTCTCATTGTTATTCTTTTATTCTCTTATCGCCTTTCGTCATATTTTTCTCTCTTTTATCAGTCTCGTCTCATTCGGCACTTTCTTTTTTTTTTTCTTCGGCTCTTTCTTCAATCTCTAGTTCATCAGCTCAGGTCTATCTCTCATATACTCTCTCTACTCTCCTCGCCTCGCTATCTCTGGTCTCTCCGTCTCTTCGTCGTCGGTCTGCAGGGATTCTCTCGTCTCTTTCCTCTCTTTTCTTTCCTCTCTCTTTCTCTCATCTTTTCTTTCTCTCTCTCTTCTTTCTCTCTCTCTCTCTCTCTCTCTCTCTCTCTCTCCTCTCTCTCTCTCTCTCTCTCTCTCTCTCTCTCTTCTCTCTCTCTCTCTCTCTCTCTCTCTCTCTCTCTCTCTCTCTTCTCTCTCTCTCTCTCTCTCTCTCTCTCTCTCTCTCTCTCTCTCTCTCTCTCTCTCTCTTCTCTCTCTCTCACTCTCTCTCTCTCTCTCTCTCTCTCTCTCCCTCCCTCCTCTCCCTCCCTCCCTCCCTCTCTCTCCTCCCCTCCTCCCTCCCTCCCTCCCTCCTCCCCCTCCCCCCCCCCCTCCCCCTCCCCCTCCCATTTCCATATGAATGTATATATTCCGGCGTCACTCCGTTCCTGAAATGAATCGAAATAGCGTGAGAAAGTGCATAGACGACAACGCAGGCTAATCCGAGAGCAAAGAAAGAGTGGATGAAAGGCGGAAGAAGGAAAGGACGAAAATTAGATTCATCGAAAAGCGGCCGAAGAGAAAATGCAAAGAGGCGAGAGAGGGAGACTTTAGGAAGGAGAGATAATGCTATGGTGAAGTTGGATGAGAAATGGTATAGACAGAAAGAGTTGGAAATGACGATGAAGGCGAAAGAAGAAGAGAAAGAAGAGGAAATAAAAGAAAACAAGAACTGCCAATCAACGACACGAATAGAAAACAGCGAATCTGTAATGTAAAATCAAGAAGAAAAAGGATAGCGCGAGGAAAACAAAATAATGATAAACAGAAGCGCGCGCACACGAGAGAGAAAGAAGAGAAAAACATAAGGAGAAAAAGAAAGAGACAAAAAAAGAATATATCGAGAAAGAAGGAAAAGAAGAGATGAGAACAGGAGGCGTGCAGACGTAATGAAAATGTAAAATATTCACCGGACACGAACCGGCGCCATGTTGATTCCCAGCCAGAGATTTCGCTATTGTTCCCGACTTGGTGCAACAGCAACAGTGCAACAACAGCAACAGCAACAGTGACGCTGGGGAGAGAGATAGCGATTTTAGGTGAAAGAGAAGCGGTTTTAGCTGAAAATTAGAGATAGAGGGAGACAAGTAGCGTTAATTAGGTTGGCGAGGGGCGAATGAGCCACGCGGAAACGCTGATGGCCGGCGGCTGTTCGCTTTTCCCTCGAAGGTTAATGCGACTACTTTTGCCGCGACGCTGCCGCTCCTGCTGATGTGCTGCAGCCGCTATTCTAAGCTATTGGGAATCGGAGTCACAACTACTTCATTAACAAACAACAATACAAAATAAACAAGAACACAACCAAGACAATGTTAACCTCAGCCCACAATAACAATCAATGCAAACCAGTCATTTACCAAAGAACAACAGAACATCGCCATTAAACACTCACGCACCGGATCATTCAACACGAACACAGGCCAATAAAGCCAGCAGCGAATAGGAACGTACCACCAACAATAACATTGACAACCCACCAATATTTAGCAAACAAACAACCATTAGCGATCATTAACAATGCAACATTGACACCAAAACGACAATGTTTAACACCATCACCACTAGCAAACGTCTAGCAACATTAAAAACCGTTTTATCAACAAAAACTAGTATTTAACACCCACCACCGACCAGTAAACAACATTCGACATCACTATAAACAACAGCATCATCACCACCAACACCAGTAACAAAATCAACACCGCCACCACCGCAGCAGCAGCAACACCCACAACAATAACTGCAACTAAAAAAAGACCCCCCCCCCCCCCCGTCCCTACCGCACACACGTACCAAAAAATCGAAGAAGAAATATGAAGTTTTTCCCTCTTAATGTGATTTACGTCTCCAACTTGTGCCAAGATTGGATTACTCGAGCGGTGAGAAAATGTCAAAATCTGTTTGCTAGGTTTTCCCTCTGTTTTCAAAATAAAATATTTATCTTGTGTGTTGTCCCTTTCTTTTTTTCCTCTTTTTTTGTTTTTTCTATTCTTTTTGGGGGTGGGATGGGTGTGAATGGGCAAGTTTATTTTTCGTTTCTTCAGTATAATTGAATCGGTAGTTTTTTTTCGTTATGTTGAGGATATGCAGTTTGATGGCTTATGTAGGTGGAAGAGGAATGTTTTGAATGTTTTCTTCTTCGGTTTTAAAGGAGGGCTTTTTCCCATGTGCTTTGCCTCCTTCGGTATGAAGAGTGTTATTTATGTTTCGTCAGAGAACGTGTGAACTTCGAACCATGTGGAAATGTGTGTGTGTGTGTGTGTGTGTGTGTGTGTCCATTTCTAGTTTCATCAGTTCATCAGTTCTTTATACCCAATTTGGCCATTAATTCATCGGTCATTTCAATTACTGTTATCATCATTTCCATCTTTTGGTTCCACGCATTTTTTCTTGTCCTGTCTCTGCTACCCCCGCCCGCCCCCCTCAAAGAAGTTTCCTCGGCACTTACCTATCAACTTTCTGCTTTCGCCTTAATTCACTTTCTCATTTCAAGTCCATCAATCGTTTCAAATTCCAACAATCGATTTGATCAATTCGGCGCCTCTGTCAGTCAGTCAGTTTCCAATTCATCCATTAGATACAATTACAGTCTCAAGACTCAGTCATCCGCTCTCAGCCCCATCAACTCCATATCTCAATCTCAGTCCATCCACCCAGCTTCATTAACTCCTTCGCCCACCCTCACCTCCTTCAACTCCCACCTGTAAACTCCAATCCATCCGCCTTCATTAACTCCTTCTTCCGCCTTCAGCCCCTCCAACTCCACCTCTCAGTTCCGGTCCGTCACATTTCAGCATTAGACAGAATTCCATCAATCGCCCATCCGAATCAGACCATCAATTCCACCCATTAATCCACCAGCGGCCGCCTCCATCTCGGTCACAGAGTCCATGAGCCCGTTATCCCTCGTCCACCGGCCGCGCTGACCCCGTCCCGCGCGCTGCCAGTGGATGGCCACCCCGGCCCTCCCTTGCACACAGGGGAGAGTGAGAAGCAGAATGGCACAGACCGCACGCCGCAGCAAAGCATATCCGTTGTAACAAAGGGAATTAATCCAACCTCCCCCCCCCTCCCCCAGTGGACGTGTGGGACGGCCAGGACGAGCCTGTCGTCTACCACGGCAACACCCTCACCAGCAAGGTGCCCTTCCGGGAGGTCGTCGACGCCATCGCCAGCTACTCCTTCGACTTCTCCGTGTGAGTCTTCGCTCTTGTCCTTATTCCTCTATTTCCTTTGAAATGCACTTTCATTGTTATCAATTTATCACGTCATATGGAACGTTGGAATACAATTAACAAAAAGATACGATGAAAAGGGCTGCACTTAACAAAAGAAGGCTTTTGACTTTGTAATCTATAAACCGTGAATCTATAAACTTTTTGTATGTATCCAAACTTATACCCATTATTTTGGTGATATTTGATAGTCCATTTTACATACATCAAACTTCAAATTTTATAGACCAATTCAGAATTAAGAACATCCTCTAGGTACTACCAATGCTCAATAGACCAGCTTTAATACCACTTACACCTTCTCCCAAGCCACCCCAGCCTCAACGACATTTCATTGCGTCTGACATGGCCACTTCCACTCCTGCAGCTTCCCCCAACCTCGGGAACCGCATTCCATGGGAGCTGTTCCGCTTCCCCAGGTTACCCGGTCATCGTCCACCTGGAGAACCATGCAGCGTTCAAGCAGCAGCACAGATCATGGCGTTCAGCTCGCTGAAGACGCTTTGCTGGGGCTCCGTACCTGGTACATCCACCGCGGAAGCCTCGGGCCCAAGGCCGTCACGGACCTCAGCCCCGAGGAACTCAAGTACAAGGTCATACTTAAGGTAAGCTGCTTTCTCGAACCTGTCCGTCTGATCTATCTACCTTTCTCTATATTCTGCCTGTCTATCTGTATTGAAATGAAACACATCTATTGTAGAAACGAAATGAGAGCGTGACGTTTCGAACTCATCAAAAGTTCTTCATCAGGCATTGAAAAACCTTAACCATATATATTATATATATATATATATATATATATATATATATATATATATATATATATATATATATATATATATATATATTCACGGCGTTGTGAGGAGGAACTCTTGACAAGGGCGTACACGTTACTGCATTTGTGATTTTACACCCATATCTTTATGCATCTCTTCATCCATCTATTTATCTATCAATCTATCTATGTGTGTCGTGAATGAAAAAGTCTGGGAGGCAGCTGCCGACTGCGCCGCGCTCGACCCGCTCGCCCGCAGCATCCTAATCCTTGCTCGCCGCGGAGAGCCGCAGCATCCTAATCCTTGCTCGCCGCGGAGCCGCAGATCCTAATCTTGCTCGCCGCGAAGCCGCAGCATCCTAATCCTTGCTCGCCGCGGAGAGCCGCAGCATCCTTATCCTTGCTCGCCGCGGAGAGCCGCAGCATCCTAATCCTTGCTCGCCGCGGAGAGCCGCAGCATCCTAATCCTTGCTCGCGCGGAGAGCCGCATGCATCCTATCCTTGCTCGCCGCGGAGAGCCGCAGCATCCTAATCCTTGCTCGCCGCGGAGAGCCGCAGCATCCTAATCCTTGCTCGCCGCGGAGAGCCGCAGCATCCTAATCCTTGCTCGCCGCGGAGAGCCGCAGCATCCTTCCAGACTCACGTGGCATTCAGTGATTCAGTGATCAATACGGCTGATTCACAACACGGGTTTCATTCAGATCATCATTTAGTATTCCATTTCAAGCGGAAGCAGATTAGCTATTTTAATCCGTCAAAGCCGTGTCTAGTTATTAGGACTCCCTCCTTTCTCTTGAACCCAGTGAACTTAAATGACCACATGATATATTTAATGAAACGCAAATTGCCGCGCTGATATACTTGCATTAACAGATCGCTCGCAGAATGCCTTAATTTTAGTATTTAGGGTGAACTGTGTTAGTGTTTGGCGTTCGTTGTAATTGCAGGATTTACGATTGGGCAAAGACCAGGAGAGAGAGAGAAAGAAAATGAGAGAGAGAGAAAAAAAAAGAGAGAGAGAGAGTAAGAAAGAGAGAGAGCGAGAGAGAGAAAAAAAGAAAGAGAGAGCGAGAGGTAAAGAAAGAAAGAGAGAGAAAAGAGAAAGAGAGAGAGAGTCTTAAAACAGACAAGAATAAGCGAAAAACAATTAATAGTTCGTTGCTGTTATTTCAACTTGCTTGCCTCTCAACCTCCTAAGGAAAATACCTTCCTCTTGTTAAACGAATTGGGACACGAAAAGAGAATTGAAGGAAAAGAAATGAAAGCTGTAATAGCGACTGGAAGGACACACTTATTGAGGAACAGTAATATCTAAATGGAATTTGAAAAAAAAATTAGCGAAAATGGAAAAAAATAAAGTGGATGAGACAGAAGAAGAGAAACGAACGACAATTTAAAAATAAGAAGACGAGAAATAAGAGAGAGAAAGACTAATGGTATAAAGAGGGTATAATCATAATGTGGATAACAGGAACTAGGAAATGATGAGTAAAGAAGAGAAAAAGTAAAACCAAAAAAGAAGGAAAAGTGGAAAAACGCGAACGAAAGGAAGAAAGGAAAGATAATGAGATAAGAAGAAAAAAATAGAGAAAATGCCGGATTTTAAAAAGTAATAATAAAAAAAAAAAAATGGATGGAAGGAAGGAAACAAAAAATATATGATCAGCAAAGTAAAGAACAAATAGAAATAGAAAATAAAACGTAATTATCGAAAACATCAAATCAAAAAGAAAACGAATACAGAGAAAGGCGAAAGAACGAAAGAAAGAGAGAAAGAAGAGAAACACAATGTCTCATCCATATTGATCTTGGAAAGCCGGCCGAGCACAAAGAGACCCCCCCCCCTCGCCCTTACGGCCCTCACCCACCCCCTCCTTTCTCTCGCCTTTTCCCTCTCGTTTCTCTCTATCTCCCTCTCACTTTTTTTCCTTTGTGTCTCCCTTTCTCTCACTTCTCACTCTCTTTCTCTCCCTCTCACTTTTTTCCCTTTTGTCTCCCTTTCTCTCCCTTTTCCCTCTTTCTTTGATCTCCCTTTTTTCATTGTCTCTCCCTCTTCATTTTCTCCTCCTCTCGCTTTCTTCTATTTTTTCTTTTTATTCTCTTTTCTCTTCTTATTCTTTTTTTTCTTTTTTTGGTCCTTTCTTTTCTTCCTCTTTTTGGCTTCCTTTTTTTCTTTTCTAATTTTTTTTCTACTTCTTTTTCTTCTTCTTTTTTTTTCATTTTTCGCTCATTTTTTACGTCTGATTTTTTCCTTTTCCTTTTTTCCTTTTCTTTTCCTCTTTTTCTTGTTTCTTCCCTTGTCTTCTATTCTTTTCTTCTCCGTTTTTCTATTCTTCCTTTTTTCTTGTCTTCTCCCCCTTTTTCATTTCTTCTCCCTCTTTTGTCTTCTTATTTTCTTGGCTTCTCTCTTTCCCTTTTCCCTTTTTTTCCCTTCTCCCTCCTCTCTTCCCTTAAACATCCTAAGTTTTCTTTTTCCCTTTTTTCTGGCTCTTAGCTGCCCCCCCCCCCGCCCCGCCCATTATCTCCCTTGAATATCGGTCCCCCTTATCCGACTTGTTCCTATTCCCATTCACTCTGTTATCTTTATCCTCGAATTTCTCTTTCCTTTTAATCCTTCACCGACTCCCCCCTTGCCCCCTTAATTGTCCTTAAGTCCGCTTTTCGAACTTTATCTTCTGTTAGCTCCTTCTCTTCTTACTCTTCCTTTTTCTCTCTCTTCTCTCTCTCTCGTCTTCGTCCTCGTCCCTCGCCCCTTCTCTCTCCCTCACCTCGTCTCCTCTCCCTGTTTCTCCCTGTCTCTCCCTCTTCTTTTTTTTCACCCTCACAGCTGTTCTCCATTTCCCTGTCTTCTCTCTGTTTCTCCCTTTTCCTGTTCTCACCCCTACCGTTTCTCTCTCTCCCTATTTCTCCTTCGTCTTCCTTTTTCCTTTTATGTTTGATGTTATGGTAATTTTTTTTTTTTTTTTTTACCCCCTCCCCTTCCCTTTTCCCTTTAGCTCCGCCTCTTCTCTCTTAGTTCTAATGCCCTGCCTCTCCTTCCGTCTCTGACCCCTTAGCCCCATTATGTTTCCCTTAGGTCCTTCCCCTTGCCCTTTTTCCTCACCCCTTCGCCTTAAGTCCTTCCCCTTGCTCTCTTCCTCACCCCCTTCCCCTTAGCACGGCCCCATTTTTCTCGCAAGATCCACCCCCTTTTCCTTCTCCCTTATCTCCCTTTTTTCCCCTTAACTCCTCAGCTCTTCTTCTTCTTCTCCTCCTCCTCCTCCTGCTCCTCCTCCTCCTCCTCCTCCTCCTCCTCCTCCTCCTCCTCCTCCTCCGCTCCTCCTGCTACCTCCCCTGCTCCTCCTCCTGCTCCTCCTCCTGCTCCTCCCTCCTCCTCCTCCTCCTCCATCCTCCTCCCACTTCCCTTGGACATGAACGTTAATACAAAGTGATATGAGAGAGGAAAGTTAGGCAACGGGTGGGGGGGGGGGTGATTAATACTTTATGCTGCCAATGGCTTTGGTTTTATGCTTTGAAAACTGTTACATTTTTTTAAGCTCTCTCTCCTCTCTTTTTCCCCACCCCGCACGTCTTTCTCATCTCTCTCCTCTCTTCTCTCGTCTCTTCTCGTCTCTCTCCTCTCTCTCTCTCTCTCTCTCTCTCATTCGATCTCATTCGTTCTCTCTCCATCTCTCACTCGTCTCTTCTCTCATCTCTCCAATCAGTCTCATGCGTCGAGATCTCCTCTCTCCTACTTCAAAGCTATCTCCCCTCATCCTCTTCTCTCTCTCTCTCTCTTCCCATCCTCTCCGTCTCTCCTTAACCGTACTCCCAATTCATCCTCACAAGGATCCCTCACTGAACAAATAGTCTAGATCACAGCCCTCTCTCAAAACCGCTCAAACAACACACGACCACATCTACATCACCACCGAAAGCTACTCAACCTCACATTTCCCACTCTCCTCTCCCCTCCTTCATCCTCTCCCTCTCCCTCAGCACCTTCTCCCTCCTCGTCTCATCCGCCTCCCTCCTCCCTCAAGATCTCACTGCCACTCGCCTCTTCCTCAGCTCCAAATCCATCTCCACGCTCTCTCCTTTCGATCTCTCTCCCCAAACAACTATATCCCTCTATTCCTTGTCATCCAAGAATTCTCTTCCCAACTCACAAATCATACCCACCACACCTTCACAATACTACAACAATACACCTACATCTATCTACTTCTCCCTCTCTCGATCTACAACATCTCCGATTATCTCTCACATCCACAACTACAAAATCTACCCATTCAAAAATATCCTCTTCATCTGTCTCATACCTCTCTCCGAAATCTTCATCTTATCTCCTCCCTTACTCCAATCAAGTCTCTTCGCTCGCCAACTCGCGTCCTCAAATAATCAAACTAATAAAAACATGACTAAAATAATACCATACACATCTATCTCTACTCTTCATCATCTCTCTCATAATACTTCGTCTATACACTCCAATACATTCTTCTCAATTCTCTCTATTCTCATCTCTCTCTAATCTATCTCTAAAACTCTCATCACTTCACTCAGGGATCATCTCCACCCATTAACATATAGATATACACCGTATCTAATAATACTATAAGACCCAATGAACATCAAACTATCACATCACAATCAACAATATTCTATATATACTACTCACGACCAGACCTTCATTCACCTATCCACTCCATCTACTCTCCTAGTCATCAATCTCTTATCTC